GGTGACATTTTGTTCTGTGCCCCCTCCCCAGGCCGTGTTCCGCTGTCCTGAGCAGGTGTGGCACGTGGAGCTGCTGCCCCAGCCCCGACAGCTCTACATCCTGTGCGCCCACAGCGGGATCTACTGCGTGTCCCTGGAGCAGCAGAGCAGGTGAGGTGTCTGTCACCTTTGGGATCAGCACCATGTCCTCATCCCTGGGCTCCTGGGGCTGCCCCTTCCCACCATGGAGTGAGGCCTCTCTCTCTGTGTGAGGCTCCAGCTCTCTCCAGATTGTGCCCCTGACTCTGGGGTTGCAAACCCTCCATGCCAGAGCACTCCAGCCCCCATCCCCGTCCCCATCCCGATCTCCAGCTGCGCAGGGTCATCCTGGCTGCCTCACACATGAGCAGCCTCTGGCAAACACTGGATCCCACCAGGAAGGCCCCCAGTGCCCAGCCAAGGGCAGCAGAGCTGCACAGCCAGGACATCCCTGGCCCCACCGAGGGTTGGGGGCTCTGGTCTTGTGATCGTTCCCACAGAATTCCTGTCTCTCCCTGGTGCTAAAAGCTCTGCTGCAGGAGCTCCTTTCCCAGGGCCAGGCGAGGAGGCGGCCAAGGGACACGCTGGCCTCTCCCCACGCCTTGGCTCAGAGCTCTTCCCTGTTTTCCCGAAGGTTAATGGAGCAGATGGACGGCGACGGCCAAGAAAGCAACGGCCCTTCCGGCGTGTTCCCGGTGGATGCGGATTCCTGCATCTTCCCCGACGCCAGCCTGAGCATGTTCACCCTGCTCAGCACCTTCGTCATCACGCTGTCCCAGGCCGAGGGCAAGTGGTGGATGCGGCTGCACGAGCTGCCGCGCCCGGAGCAGGACGGGCCCCCGTACCGGCAGGTCAGCCAGGTGGAATTCTGTCCGGGCTCCCCGCCCGGGGACGGGGAGGACACGCCCCCCTCCTGCTTTCTGCCCGTACTGTGCTGCGCGGCCGCGCCCGGCGCCGAGGGGCTCTGGTGCTCGGGGGGCTTCGTGCTGGAGGAGCCCCTCTTCAGCCTCCTCTTCGGCATCGATGCGGCCATGCTGGAGTCGCCCATGATCCTGTGCGGGTTCCCGGACGGGCAGCTCTGCTCCGTGCCCCTCAAAGCCCTCAGCTCCTCGCCCGCTGCCACCGACAGCGGCTGCCGGG